AAATAAGCTTAATATCAGAAATGATAAATGAAATAAAAAGAGGAGCAGCATAACTCTTCCGAAGGCATTTTCCCGTCAAGGAACAGGTCTTGCAGAAAATATAACTTTCCCAGACAACTGCTCTTAATTTGCATTTCTCCTCATTTTATTATTTTTTTCTTCTCCTGGCGTAAAGAAAGTAATGAAGCTTATTGCGGTACAAAACATTAAAGAATAAGCCTAAAGACTGCTTTAGCTATGGGTTCAGCCAGCCGTATTTAAGACATAGTGGCAACAATAATTCACGGTTGAATCGATTCTTCGACTTAACCGCTTCCGGCGGAGCTTATTTTCTTCTAAAAAATATTTTTGGGATAAGCAAGGATGCGAAAGGGGTGCCTCAATAAAGAAAAGGGCCAGCCTTGACCTCCGCCATCCTGGCGACATTCGACACCTCTACCAACTGCGTGACGTCACTTCAACGAGGATAAAAAGCCTTCATCGATGAGCAAATTCATCGATCGATCGACATGCGAAAATTATATAACAGTTCTGGCGAGAGATGGCGCTGCATGCACACAAGAGAGATATTTCCGGACTTGCTCTAGAAATAGTTTTCCCGCAGGTATGTTTCCTCCAACTACAAAGGCTACAAAAAGGCATATCGTTAAGTACTAATTTTAGGATAATAGTATAATAAATAAAACTTGATTTTACATTAAAATGTAATGTTTAAAAAATGTACAAAATTTAAACGTGAATTTTTTCTTAATAATTGTCAGAATTTTTTTTAAATTTTTTTTAGAGTATAGTAGCGACATAAGCAATTCTGGTATGTTCTTAGTTTCAAACAAAATACATGAATCTATGAAATCTCATAAAATTATACCTCATAACCTTACCTTACCTTATGAAATCTCATAATTTGACATTATTACCTTTTTGTAATTTAAAACACTCTGTAATAAAATATTATAGCTATAATAAATCAATGTTTTTAAATTTTTCCTATATTTTATGGATAAATATGATTATGCAAATTTTTCTTTTTATTAAATCTACATAGCATATGTTATGCGAACCATAATAAAATAAATTCAATTTCTTCATGGAAAAAGGTGCTGTCAGAATTATTACTTTTTCCTGTCGCCGTTACTTAATATAATTACGTAAATTGACACTCGCAAATAAAAGACAAATCTCACCGACATTATTTACTTCAAACATTATTATATTTAACTTTTTTTGGCTGACATGATAGTCTAATCTCTATAGCTGTGTTAGAAGAACTACTTCGGACAATATTTTTTTTAAATAAAAATGTTATTTAAAAATAAAATTACCTGGCAACTCTTTACGATGATTTTATTTTTATATTTGAACAGAAGTAGCAAAATTTAAATAATCACTTACTTAAATAAATGCGGTTTAAAATAATTTTGGCAACCACTACATATAAATAATTTCAACACATATATACTAGGCCTGAAGTTTTTAAAAGTGTTTTTAATAGTTGGCTAAATTTTAACAAAATACCAGCTCACAATTTTTAAGTGAATAAGCATTTCCTAAACTCTGGGAAGGAATTTTTCTGAAAAGCATAAGAGTTGGCAGGTGCGTTAAAATAAAAATTCATTACTAAATAGAAATTTATTTTTTTAAAACTATGCAACATTACTAAGCTATCGAAAAAAACAAATCCAAAGAAAAGTATTAAATAATAAATATTTCAGTTTTAACATCTTTACTTCTTTTGCGTGATTCTTTTTACGGTATTGGTTTGACCTAATTCTCGAATATCATTGTCTCTTGCATTGATTTTTATTTTCAGGAGCTTTATCAAAAGTCAATGAAGAAAAAAGAAAAAGAAATGAGGACGGATATAAAGAAAACGGAAAAGATATTCAACGAATAACAATATAATGAAAATATATTATTAAAAAAAGTAGAATTCTTTCTAAAGTAGGAAACAAAGATTGAAAATAAGTATTTTTTTTTCACCTAAAAATATCCGCAGATATTTTGGATGCGTTATGTTATAGACGAAGATTAATCTTTTTTCACTAAGATCAGCTACTTAAGTGATAAAAATGCTCAAAATTATAATTTCAAATTTTTCCCTAATTTTTTCTGAAAAAGTATCAGTTATTATTAGTAATTGGAAAGTACTTTCCTTTATTATAACTTCCAACAAACACGAAAATAAAATATATATAAACGATTCAAAGAAATAATTTTTTTTAAATTGCAGATCATTAACGATGTATTCCTAGAATTAAAAAAAAAATAGCATAAATTATTTCTAGGAAATTTCTTTTCTTTTTTTTCTTTTTTTTTGTTGATCAGTTAAATTTGCATTCGGCATGATTTCCTCTTGCTAAACACCATTTAATGATGAAAAGTTATTGTTAAAAATTATAACTGGGAGAAAAAAAACAGGAGGTGTCTGGAATAATTTAATTAAGCCGAGATTGTGAAATAAAAACTAGCTTTATATTTTTGTCATTTGCTTAAACTAAAAATTTAAACAATGGATCAAATGGAAATAATGAAAAATATCAAATAAAATCATACGAAGCAAATTTGAAATGAAGAATCATCGTCAACAAGAATTTTAAAAATGACGATAATTTCAAAATTTACAAAAAGGAAAAAGTAAAATCTATTCAGATATTTTTATAAACAGCTATAAAAAAAGTATGGATAACAATTAAAATAACAAGCAGTTGTTGAGAAATTTCGAAACAATTAAGGGCAAACGATAAAATTGGGTAAAGAGGTTCATTTAACTAGCTTATTGATTGTTTTATTTTGAAAATATTAAATAGTTCATAATAATACAACTCAACTTTACAAAGGATTTCGTAGAAAAAAGAAAATAGAATATAAAACAAGACCAGAAAGTAAAATTTTAATGCAACAACAAATCTCAACTAAGACTAAACATAAAATTTATAATAGAAGCGAATTAAATTTTTGAAGTAAATTTAACGAACAGAAACGGAAAGTAAATATGAAATGCTTAAATGCACCTGAATTAGCAAGGCTAACTTAAAAGTTTGTAGAGCCAAGTCCACATTTTTCTTTCACGGTCTAGCAACCTCATGCAGTTAATAGCACACGGAGTTCAGTTTTATGTGTATTATTACACACCTTAAAAATCATCTCTTATACGCTTCATTTAGCAAAAATACTTGCCATTTTCTTTTTTCGATGGTAAACTTAATGCCAGAATTCGCAACGATCATCGAGCTTTGTTTATCTTCTCAAGTTCGCGCTCTTTGGAAGGCGGAAGGAAGCCAAAATCGAATATTTTTCGTAGGCTCATCACGTGCATTGATTGTTCTTTTTTTCTATTCTCTTCAAACCTCGTTTGGAGAATTTCAAGTAACGAGGTGCGATTTACGAGGGCTATGATACGAAAATGGGAAACAACAATGGAAAGTTGATTCCACATCAAATTGTCATAAAAAGCCAATAATGTTCACAAATTCTTTTTAAAGAATCAAATTTTCAAATGTCGTGTAAAATTTAATTAATAATTGAGCTTTTTTTTTCCTGTCCTGGATCCGTAATAAAAGATTAAATTTTCGAAACCGAGATCATAAAATGATTAAAGCATCGTGAGAATTTTAAAATTACTCGCATTGTATAAAAATGTCGTAAAACTAATTAAATATCGGTCGTATTAAAATTATAAAATGATAAAAATAGTAAAAATTACATAAACCTTAAAAATTCTGTAACTTTATATTTTGTATTTGTTTTATTAGTATTTTTAAAAGTACATCAGATATAACTAAATATTTGTTTAACAACCAAAACCGTTTAACAGACATGTTTAATATATATATATTTAAAAAAATAGTACGTGGAGTCCCTCCGCGCGGAAGAAGTGAAACTTCGTAATGTGGAAATGAAAATAGGAAGGGGTAGAAATTGATTTTTAGTGAAATCATAAGAAGTGAATCACAAGAAGTCGTATTAGANAAAAAAAAAAAAAAAAAAAAAAAAAATACAACGTAAGGGGAGAAAATTAAAAAGCTGTTCTAAACAAAGCTAAAGAATTTTCAAGCACTATATTTATTTACTAGTACGCTAAATTTTAAAACCATAATTATGAACAGTATTAACAATTTTTAACAGTTACAGATATTATTAAGTTAGTTTGACCATGTCTGTTAGTTTGACCATGGCCAGGGGTCTGTTTAGAAGAAATTTGGGTCCGTTAATGGATCCTTCACAAAATATCTTTTCATAAAAACGGACCCTTCACAAAATATTTTAACTTAAAAACGGACCCTTCACAAAATTATATATTTTTTTAATCGGACCCTTCACAAATTTGTTTATCTTCATTATTGTTTTGTTAATTGAATTGAAAGGGCAGAAAACAAGAAAGATGGATGTAAACGAATTAAGTTTTGTCTTCGGCAGACGATTCTTCCATTATTCGTCCGAAATGAATATTCTACGTTCAGCAGTATAGGCTAAATACCAAATATTTGTATGTTGCATCTCTAATTTAGAAGCAGCAATTGCTGTTTATTTTTGAAAATTTAAATTTAAATTTTACAGTTTTTTATTATAATTTTACAGTGCCGAGCATAATCTTGTATCTATTTACAATTTAAAAACTCCTTGAAAAAGTCTTTTGCAATAACCGGACTCTATGTGCACAAATTCATAAAAGCGGAGACCCTGGTTGAAAGAATGTGAGTAATTTTTTTCACAATTTCACGAAAACCGGACCTTTCACAAAATGTCTGGACAGACCCCTGATGGCCCAATTATGCTCCTTATGTTCAAAGATCACAATTTTAAACAAAAATAAAAAAATTAAAAGGAATTTAAAACTCCGATTTCCGATAAGTACTGATCGAAATAAGACGTTAATAAGAAATAAAACGTTATTAAGAAACTCACGTTACTATGGCAACCTTAAGAAAAAGTTGGCCCAATTATGCTCTTTATTAATTTACTCACTCAAACTATTAAAATTACAAAAAAATAGTACTTACTTAAAACAGTTACGACATAAGAAACACTATAGATGTCAACTCCGCTGCCCCCTTCCTTCAACCAGCATTCGAACTTTCCATTGTCTTTGTCATAATTCGCTTGAGATATGAGCAGATCGTATTTGCCCTCTTGAGGGCTGAAGTCTATATTGTAATGAGGGTCCAATGCCGCAGCATTGATAGCTGCATTGTCTTTACCATCTTTATTCACTCTACTCCAAAAGTAGAGCGTAGTACTTGATCCTAAGGCTGAATGAAATCTACAGGGAAGTCGTAAACTTTCACCTTGTACTACGTCCCTGCTATCACCTAGCATAACTTGTCCAGAGCAACAACCTGCAAGTAAACAAAAGTCGTAATCAATACATCGTTCAAAGTCAAATAAATCGCAAAAAGTTTTTTTTTTTTTTTGGACTTAAAATTGCATTTGCAAGAACCTAATTTGACATCGAAACTACAAGGGAAATTACCCTTCGTTATATTTAAAACTGCGTGGTAAGACCCATGTCCAAATTTGACTTAAAACTTGTATTGTAAAAAGCCGATGCTTTTGACTTAAAACCACATCACGAGAACTCTCTGTTTTTATTTTTAACATGAAATTATAATGCAATGTTTCACTGTCATTATTTTTATTTAACATTGTAGTACAAGAATCGATTGTTCCATTGCAAGACCGATTGTAGAAATTTGAGCTTAAATTGCATGGCAAAAACCAAATTCTATATTTTAACTAAAAATTAAATTACGATAACTAAACAATTCATAATATTATCATAAACTATTGAAATGTTTTCGATAATTAAAAAATAGCAAAATATATTTTTGCTCGTAATTTAAAGTATCAGAAATATATATATATGAGAAAACCCATCTGCTTCAAAGGGTTAAACATTATTTAAACGTTCTTGTCGCTGAGTCGCCTAAAAAGCAAAATAATGCAAATATTGCTTGTTAAGAATTAAAATCACATACATAATCAATTTGCATGACGTTATGGTAAAACATTACGATAATGAAAATAAATTCTAATTCCAGGTTTACAGTCAGACGTTTCATTACGTTTAGTAATGATAAAAAAGAAAAAAATGAAAAGAAAAAGAAAAAAACTGACCGCCATATGATTTAAGCCTACTGCAAGAAATACAGTTACATTTCCAAATGGGTCATAATCTCAATAGACCCATACCAGTCTAATGTTCGATATACTTACACACAAATAATACATACCGCCTTTCAAACGATAAAATAACCCTACAAATCGTTGAAACCACCAAGTGAATACCAACGTTATGTATGCTAAAACAATTCAGTCAGAAATCGATTTTTCCTTGAGAAGAAAAAGAAAACGATTTTTCTTATCGTAGGTCATTCCATTCGAAAACAGTACCCTGAAAGTACTGCTTCAATCACGCGAATGAGCACCGTCAAAGTATCGTAAAACCTTTAAAAATCAAAGGGAGTCTCTGAGGGCGCAGAACAGTAAGGGCCGCCCCATCCATTTGGAGCAATGAAATTAAAGGAGTGCTTGATATTAAAACATTTTCTCTTAAGAATCACGCTACGTCCGTCAATGGTGTCCCATAAAACGCTACAGTTCTTCGAAGAATGCAATTTGGCTTTTACACCCTGCTTTATTCGATTTTTTATTGTTTTCGGAGAATTTCGGCAAATCACTGATGACGAATTGAAAATTTCCGTAAAGTAACTTTTAAGAACCCTTTTCCTATTACGTTTAACATTAGTCCAGATAATTTACCATTTCCTTTAATTTTTGGACCAGTCAATTTGTTGCTGCTTGATATATATAACAATAATTTAATCGCACAAATGATAAAGTGCAATTAATTTGAATTGATACAAGATTAATTTAGAAGTAATAAAAATTATTAAAAAAAACTTACATTTTTTTTAAAAGGATATAAAATTTACAATAACAAAATTTATTTTTTTGAAAACGCTAAAATCATGTTTTTAACGAATTTTTCTGATTTTTTTATACTCCAAGAGATAATTTACAAATTATCTTAATTTCTCATCTTTTAAAAACAGATACGTATTTTTATAAATAATATAAACATTAAATAAAATTATTTAAAAATGATTTTTAAATAAGTTTTTTCTTAAAAGAATTTTTTTTTTAATTATACATTATATTTTTAAATACATGAATTTATGTTTGATTAAGAGCCCGCTAGGTGGCCGAAATGTAGGGGTGCATAATTGTGAAGCCAATGGTAGCAGGTTCGAATCCCACTAGGGTCATGAATTGTATTACATATTTCTTAAATTTCGAACTGTCTAATCGTATATACATCGTTGTCGCTTAATAAGAATTTAACGTTTGATATTGATCTTACGTCTGATAAAGAGTAATTAATTTTAATTAATACTCGTATAAGAATAATTCATAAAAACATTAAATAAATTTATTAAAAAAACTTTCAAAAAAAGATAATTTATAAATATATATTTTTATAATTGTTAAAATTACGGCTGGCAAAAAAGCAAAATTTAGAAGAGAAAAAGTGTGCAACAATTTATTCTTAATGGATTCATAATAGAATTTGTTTAAAAAAAATAGCATTGAGAGACGGATTATATTTAATAAAAATAAGAAAGATCACTTGGTGATTTACACAATTCATAAAACAAGATTTAGAAAATACAAATATGAAATAATATATTCTTCTTTAGAATTTTGAGGTAGTTAAATAAATCAGATTGTTTTTACAAAACTAATAATAATAATAAAAAATATATCAACTAAATCTTTTGCAAATATCGATATGTCTTTCTTGCTTTGGCAAAGGTAATTATCTTTCTTTAAAGATTCCTAAGTACCCCCATACACAAATCTGCTTTTTATTTCTTTTTTAGTCATTTTCGTAACAAACAGATCACTCTCTTTATTTATTTTCGCCAGAAAATGCCATTCAAAACGAGAAAAAAATTCGAAATTAATCCTTGTACTTCTCTTTAAGAAACATTCTCCGGGGATTATAGAACAAGAATAATTATTTCCGTCTTTACTGTTGGCATCAAATGAAGGGAAAAGTTGGGGAAAAAATGCTTTAAGAAGAGTTTATATCTCTCTCCCCCAATACAAACACTAAACGATTCTGTTTCGAAAAAGTTTTTTTTTCACCGTTGGCATCGGAATTTATTTCAGATTAATTTTTTTTCTTCTACGCAGGGATGGCAATTATTTTCACTTTGTGGATACCAGCTCATTTCCATAAAGCTCTTTTCGCAAACGATTCACTCAGTAACTTCTTTTGAATATAGAGAAGACCACTAGGTTACAGTTAAAAGTTTTCTTCGCGTAGCCAGATGACGCCCAAATATATAAAAGAATATTTTTTTATAATATATTTTTTTCTACTTAAAGAAAGTGAGAACTTCTCGGAGAAGCGTTCAAGACAAAGGTTGTAAGGAATGTCGGCATAAGTTTTTTTTCTCTCTCGGCTACCTTTGTAACTGCTGTTGATTCACGGCTATTAGGTTTTTTATTCTACTATTTTTTTTCTTTATTTTCTTGCCGTTTCTTTTCACATTACACCAGGTGATGATATTTTTTCGTCATTATTCTGAGTAAATATATAAATTTTTTATTCGAACATAATGAGCAGGAACACCGAATTAATCGCCTTTAACTCCCCCCAAGGGATTTTTTTTTTTTTTCATATTTCCTTTTTCCAAAACAATTTTACAATTTGTCACAGCTGTTGATTTTGATCTAAAGAAAAATAATGACGAACTATTGTTCTTTACCCTCATAAATGACTGTATTATTGTAAGAAATAAAATATGATTCGAAAAAATTCTAAAAATATATGACGATGTTTTTAATAAAAAAAATTTTTTAAGTTAAACATTCGTTATAAAATAAAATTTAATGTAAATTATGTAAGAATATTAAAAAAAAGGACAAGTTCAAAGTATGGGCACAAGTTCACATTTTTCTACAATTATTCATACAAATTTACATCTACTGGGCAGAGAGCTCGCTTAAATTTCTTTTTTAATTTGAAATAGCAATGATACATTCTAAAACACTCGTTTTGCATATACATTTCCTAAACCGTTTCCACAATTTATTTAAACTCCATAAAGCTTAACAAAAGAAAAAAATTTACTGAGTAAAGTAACTATTCCTTTTAAGATTTAAAAAATAATAAAAATAAGTCAAACTATTCGATACATGTTAAAGCAAGCCTAGTCGCCTACTCCAACTAGGAATAAATGCATATATAAGTCGGTTGGAAATTGAAAAGAATCTATCTATATTTATCAATAGTGCCTTCAGCTTCGTACCCTCACTTTCTCTGGAGATATATCGGTGGTAAGATTCACGCCAAATGTTCCTTGATGGATTCCAAATGCCGCCAAGAAAAATAAAAGAAGTAGCGCCGAAAAATCCATTCGTTCTGTTGAAAATCGAACGTCAATTTGGATCGTTGATCATAAGTGATAGAATACAGCATCCATCCTTTGCTAAAAGTGGATATCGAAAGGTTTTCTACCTTCTTTTAACAGACTGGTGTTGGAAAAGAAATTATAGCACTAGTCATAAAAAGATCTGGCGAATGTAAAAGAGACGGAATTTTTGTTATTTGATTTACAAATGATGAAATAATGTTAGAAAATATGCGTAAAAATAACATTACGTTTGTCTTTTTATTTTATTATTGTTTTCTACTGCAATGATATCGTTTGACAAATTATTTTAACCCGTTCGATTGATATTATTGCTCGTTATGAGCTGTGCGGGGATATTATTTAATATTGTTTAAAGCAGATACTTTTATTTATAATTTTATAAATATGCTTTTAAAAATCACCATGATAAAATCCATTGAAATAAACAAATAATAAAAATATTCTGTCTGATTTGAATATCGTTTGACAATTTTTTATCGTTTGGGTTTGGTTTAGAAATCGATTAATAGTTGAATAAGATAAAAAAAAAATTTATAATAGTTCTCATAATATCTTTTGATAAATTATTTTAACTCGTTAAATTGATAAAAGTAGGATCTACTGATAACATTGATGATTATAATTTGTGCGGTGATTTTGTTTAAAGCAAATACTTTTACTTACAATTTTATAAACATGCTTTTTAAGTCACAATAATCAAACCCATTGGAATGAGCAAATAATACATATATTCTAACTGATTTGAATTATTTGACGATTTTAAATCTAAACCAAACCGTTTAGGTTAATAGATTTTGTTAATAAGGTTAATAGATTTAGTTTAATAGATTAGAAATAGATTTCGTTATGCAATCGGGTACTTGCAACTCGAGAAGAAGTGAAGTGATTATGCT